ACTCTTCCTTTGAACTTCTGTTGATCACTTTCATTTAATTTTTTTTCTCAAAGACAGTCATTAGTTAATGGTTAATTAACATCGTATATGGACAAGAAATAACACATGTAAGAAATAATTAATATTATAATTTTTTAATAATAAAAAAAATTTCAAAAAGCATTTCTTGTCCATTAATAATTAACTAAAAAACATATATACTATAATTATCGACAATTATTGCGATACTAAAATTATTGACAATTATTGCGCCCTTAATTTGCTACCACGAATTCACCCTTTGTGTGGCTTTGGCTTTGAACGCGTGATCTTTGATTTTACCATAGACTTGTCGGAAGCTACTTGGCTACATGAAGGGTTTTCTTTTATGTATAAATATGGCTAGGTCATATTGGAACTCTCATTCGAACAATATTAAATATTTAACAAGACCAGTCACTTTCTTTTCTTTCTTTTATTTTCTTGCTTCTGGGCTAAAGTACGTACTCCAAAACAGCCTTGAATTCTTTCAAGTGATCAGGTAATAATTTAGATTTTAGCACTCCGAAACATGACATTTCTTCTTCTTCTTCTCTCATTAAGTTAATTTCTTTGAAGAGAACGTAATAACTTCTTCTGTGGTCTTTGTTGGATGTTACTGCTCGATCAGTTAGTTCTATTTTGTAGGCTATTTTCGGAGAGCATGTTAGCGTATTGAACCGGTTCGGTCCATTCACTTTGAGTTAGATCTGAGGATTGCGCGGAGTGTATGTGCGTATAGGGGTTTTGAATGAATTTATTACTTCATATAGGGTGTACATTGATCAATTTAATTAGACTCTTGACCAAAACCACTGAACCGAACTGACCTAAATAGTTTGGATAAAATCAAACCAAATATTACATGATAACCAAAATCAACTTGAAATAATGTGGTTGAGCTCAATTTTTTAGTCCTGTTCATTAGCATCAAATAACACCTTAACCTTATTTTAAAATATTTTTTTATTTTAAAGTATTAATTTAACAAGATTAATGTTTTATAATGTTAAATATTAGATTAAACAAAAAATTAACAAACTATAATGACAATATCTAGTTATTATTGATTGTCATTCTTTTGGGGTGATAGCGAGTTCTAAAAGTCAAATTTTTAAAGGCAACTTTTAAAAGTCGCCTCTAAAAGATTAAACTTCTATGACAATAGTTAAAGTTGCCACTAATTATAAACTTTTAGTGGCAACATATGTTTCATTGTTGAAACTTAAACTTTTGATAGGAACTTGCAATGGCTGTCACTAAAAGTTTGACAATCAATGGTGATATTTTAGAGTTACCAAAAAAAAAACTCACACTTTCAATGGCACCTTTGATCGAAAGGTGAGACTTTTAGTGGTGGCTTTTATGATCGCCGCAAACTGTTCACTCTAAATGGTGACTCATATTTGTCGTTAAAAGTCAATGCTAAAAGTTTTTTTTTATACTGATTTTATGATACATCATGTAAATATGGATTGAATTTTAATTTGTCCCATTGATATGTTAATTTTGAATTCAATGATCGCGAGGGGAACAAGAGAAGAGGATGAAAAAGGGAGAGAAAGATGACATAGTCACCTAAATCTAGTTGTGGGGTTGGGATTCAAAATTTGGATCTAGAAATTTAGATTTAAAATATTGGGAGTAGATTGAGCATGAGATTATGAAAATTTGGAATAGTGGGTACTGAGAGAGCATTGAGATTTTAAAATAATTTAAGTATTATGAATGATTTTTTTATTGAGAATTTTATTTAAAACCATTTAATTCTTATATTTTTAGTGGAGTCATTATTCATTTTATTTTTTTAAACTTTTTCTAGATTTGTACTAAAACCATTGATATGGTTTAAAATAACTTTGATTTTTATATATTTAATTTGTTGTTTAATTTTTTATAGCAAATCAAGTTAATTGTTATACGTGGAAGATTATATTAATTCAAAAAAAAGTAGTTGGAGCTGGAGTTCGAATGTCAATTGTCACGCACATATATATACATATATAACATAACCTAATTTATATGGTTATATACACTAGAAAATTAAATTTTAATATCGGTGAAATGTACATCATTTATGTCTTACCATCCGCCACTGTAGCCCATTCCATAAACATGACTACTTGTTGTCACAAAAATATGAAAGTCATTGCAATCTGAAAGTGCAATTAGTTTGGGTTTTTTTTTTTTTTTGGGGGGGGGATGTACCGTACATGTGTTTTCCTGCAACAGTTTCTGAGTCTTCGTCAATGACGATCCCTCCATGAAAAGTCCGATTTCGTTTTGTGCTTCTTACAGTACAATTCTCTCACAATTTTTTCAGGAGATCAGCTCCAAGCAATTAATAATGGATTATGAACCTCCATTGTTAGAAGCCTCCCAGAAACTTCTCCGAAGATCGTCAGACACGAGAACGATGAACTCCAAGTCAACAACATCATCAATATTATCAACGGCAGTGGAGAGCAGTACTTGTGAGCTACCTGTGATTGATCTTGGCCGTTTAAACAGCAATACTGACCATCTTGAGAGAGAAGAGTGCAAGAAGCAAATAATTGAAGCTGCTAAACAATGGGGTTTTTTCCAACTTGTGAATCATGGGATATCACAACAATTCTCGCAGATGTTGCTGTCGTCAGAGGGATTAATCAAAGCGTTTCATAGGCCTTTTGCAGATAAGTCCCAACAATCTTCCACAACTGTTCATTACAAGTGGGGCAACCCTTTTGCTACTAATCTCAAGCAGCTTCTATGGTCAGAAGCCTTCCATATATTTTTTCCACATGGACAAGCAAACATGGATGAAGACGACCACCACACATGTCTTAGGTATACATTATTTCGTATGTGTGTATATACACAAATATATTTGTGCAGAACTTTAGCTTTGTATTATTAAAACATAAAAGAAATCTCGCATTTAAAAATTAGAAGATGGACCACAAATTTATAAGCTTAGAAAGTATTTAAACAAATGGCTTAAGTTATTTTGATAGAGTATACTATCCTTAAGTATACTTAAGTCATTTAGTTAGATGCTTTCTAAACTTAAATTTTTAAATCTATCATTTAATCTTTAGATGTGGGACTTCTTTTATGTTCTAATATGTGTGTGTGTGTGTGTGTTTTTTTTTCTTTTTATATTATCAAGGTGAGGATGGATAAGTTTAATTTAGGACAAAAAGGATATGTAGAGCCTAGACCTATCAATATTGAATTCAATATAATTTATATAAAAGTAGTAAAGTAATTCATTATAAGAGGATGTGTGTTTAGTTTCATTCATATATAAACTCCCCATAAGATGCGTTTAGTAAGTTTCAGTCGAAACTGCATTGCTTAGGAAAAATAAGGGGATCCAGACGCTCTTCCAAATTTGGTATTCTACAAATAAGTTTAGGAAAAATATAACCGTTGGTTCAATCCTGATATTTTTAGTGTATTTTGGTATTAGTCCTTATACTTTTTTTAATTGCTCCAAATTCCTTAAATTTCATTAGTTTGATGTACCTTAGTTTTTATCATCATTGACAAAGTTAAATCTGCTAATGTATGGATATGTTTGTTAATTTTGCTGCTAAGTTGATAAAATTATGATGTTTTGGACATTGTAAGAGAAAAATGACTATTGACCTTTCTGCCTACATGTTCTATTCATGTCTTCTTTCATCTAAAAGCATCATCCATCGCATGTTTAAGAATTTTGATTTAATCTTCTACTTGTTTTTTTTTCCTTTTATTCATTTTTTATACAACTTACATAATTTTAACATGGCAACACATATAGTAACACAGTTTGTGTACACGGTTGCCATTGTTAAGTCCTTAAATATCATATTCTAAGACATAGGAGCTAACTTTACAGACCAATAAAACTTCAAAGACTTGGAGCAACGAAAAAATTATAGAACTAATACCAAACAAGCTAAAAATATAGGGGACCAACAATTATATTTTTATAAGAAACTATCCTCCCTTGACATTTTTTAGAACATAGGATAGATAGAAGATTAAAATGATGAGATTGAACTCGCGATTTGTCACAACTAAGAATGAATTTCATGTCACTAGGCTAAAGCCGCTGGCGAAAGATTAGTCTTTCATTTCCTTTAACTATCAAGAAGAGTATATATACAAGCATAGCTTTCCCCTTCCCTTTAATTTATTGTTTTGTTGATTTTGTTGTTATCATATATTCCCTTCGATCTTTATCATAAGACATTTTTTAAAAAAGATTGATGATACTTATTATAAGTCATTTGTTGGGGTATTAATTAGGTTTTCTCAATATATATTACCCTTATTTAAAGTCATTAATTGTGAGATAAAATATATTGTAAATGTAAAAATGTTCCTCTTAAATATGGATAAAATTGGAAATTTATTCCATTTTCAAATAAATTGATGATTTAATCATTTCTCATTAATTGTAGTGAGATGGTTAGGTTTGAGAGGTGTCTTATAATAAGGATTGAAGGGAGTATATTTTTGGATTTCAACCTATTGTTTGGTCAATCCTCTATATGTGTAAAAAGAAACTGTAACATATACTCCCTCTGGTCTAAAATATAAACAATTTTTAGAAAAAATCTGCGTACAAATAAAATCCTCATTCTTATAAAGATATATATTGCTCTTTTTCTTACCATTTGTTCTAATTATCAATGCATTTCATGATGAGTGATAAATAACTTTACATAATGATCTAAGTTAATAATAAATATAATGAGGAAAATGGGTAGGAATTTCACATGTAATAGATTACTCATATTTTGAACTTAAATTAATGAAGGGAAAATACTTATAGTTTGTAATGGAGGGAGTATATAATTTGGGGCATTATAAATAGGTACTTGTTATTATTTTTCACGTCTATAATTAATTAGTTACACAATTCTAATAATAATTATTTAATCTTTAGATCGATTACTGAAGCATTTGTGAGAAAGGTGGCTCCTCTGGCAGAAAGCTTGGCGGAAATCTTGGGTCAGGAATTGAACATCAAATCCAGCTACTTCCGAGAAATGTGTTTGCCAAACACGAGTTTTCTTCGGTTAAACAGATACCCGCCATGTCCGATTCCCAAACTGGTGTTTGGTTTGTTGCCTCACACTGACTCCACTTTCCTGTCCATCGTGTACCAAGGCCAGGTTGAGGGATTGCAATTGCTGAGAGATGGAAAATGGATTGGAGTGAAACCAAATCCTCATGTTCTATTGGTCAATGTAGGTGATTTATTCGAGGTATATTTGTCTTACTCTCTTCACTCCATCTTATTATATGCTCACTGGCTCCAAAATATATACATTTTTTCTCCCAGCTACTTTTAATTTAAAATATAAGCAACTTAATATCTGCAAAAGGGCAGGACTTATATACTTCATCATATACACTTAACATACTTTAATCTAATTAAATCCAAACAAGTGAATTTTAATGTAATTATAATATTAATAAGAAGAATTTTTATGGAATAAATAATCTATAAGAAATTCACATGTCTTACTTTAATTGAAAACAAGCAACTTAAGTATATAAGGCTAAATATATTAGTTTTTTCCATTGTAAAATTCTTTCTTATTTTACCCTTATATTTATTAACTTAGATTCTTATATTTTTGAATTAATTACATTCTTCTCTGTCATCATAAATTGGAACTAATGAAAGAAAAGAAAAAAAAACAATATATGTGTTCATTGAGAATAACGATTCTATTGGTATGTAGATTATTATTAAAAGTTGCTCATATTTTGGATTGAAGGGAGTATTTCCTCTTGTTCTATTTATGAGATAGAGAGCAAAAAAATTTATTTTATTTATAAATAATTCCATTAAATTTTTATCAAAAGTTTCCCATTTTGCGTCTCATTAAATGATGGAAGAAATTATATTATCAAATTATGTATAGTTAATAGGAAGCAAAGTTAGAAACTTATTAAATTTTTAAATAAAATTAATGGGTTTTGAGATGTTAGTTAGTTCAATGCACACAAAAGCACATGTTAACTAAAAATGTGTTTGGGTGTTAGTTAGAAAGGGGGGAAAGCTATGTTTGGAGACATGTAAATTTGAAATTTGATCAAATTTCTTATTTGAGCATTTAAAAATTTATGAATTTGGATTTTAAATATGAGATTTTAAATTCAGAATTCATTAATTCAAACACTATCTTAAAAAAAATGGATATAATATGGTTCAATAACGATTTTCTTTTTTGTATTCCGGAGTTTAGAAAATTTAGGGAGATTATTTAATTGACATTATTTATCCTTTATTATCTTCATTTTCTTGATTATGGAAAAAAAAATAGATTTTTTTTTTTGGGTGGGGTTGCTGTTGATCAAGTGAGGGGTTTTGACGAAGGATTCTATTATTCCTGTTTCCTTCTTAACCATGGTCTTCTGTCCAAGCCTATAAAGATTTCTTGTATGTCAAAGATAAATATTAATATATGCCATGTAAAATTTATAAGAAGTGGTATTATTTATAAATTATAAACAATATAATGTAACTGACCTAAAACTTTGTAAAAATACATAGAAAAACGTGTCTAGTTTTTATGTATCTCATATTTAATTTTATATATATATATATATATATATAAGAGTTTAACTTATATTTAATGTAGCAAAACGGAAAAATGAATTTCTCAGATTCCTGAAATTAATATTTTTAATATAGAGTGACTCGATTGACTTCCCTCTCTTGAGTCTTGAGGTTCCGACTATTGAGACTTTTCTATTTGGCCGTAATTATAAGTTATCACTATAATGACTTGCTTGACTTTCCATCACTAAAGTGATCTTTAGTGTTGGAAAAATATACCTCAGAAGATAATTTTTGGCAGTGATTATAACTTATAAGTGATTACGAATCATAAGAACCTGCAGGTAGATGAACTCAGAAAGGACCGTTTATTACTCTAAAGGCTTATCCTATATAATATATTCCCTCTAGGTCACAATATAGTAGTATCTTCCAAAAATCTTATTTGGTCTAAAATATAGAGTATTAGGTAGTTTTTACAACTTTTTTTCTAATTATAATCATACAGTCATGCTTCATTTATTACTCTTCTTAAAGAAATAATGCATTAAAAATTTAATTGTCATTATTAAAACACTTATATAGGATATTTAATAAAAGTATAATTAGAAAATATGTAAAAAATTTAAGAGATTAAAATTTTTGTCTAATATATTTTTTTAGAACTATGAAATAGTTATCAATGCTTTATATTATTGGTCAGGAAGAGTATCTTAGTATACAATAATGATGACCTTAAGATTTTAAATTTTCAAACATGGTCATCTTCCGTATATATTGTTTTTTGATGATACTATCATTACCAGTAGCTAGAGATGAGAATTAGAACTAGCCCGATCCTTATTCTCGACTCATAGCAGCAAAACCTAAAAAGACAAGTAATTTCACTATCATCATGTACGTCGAGAAATATAGAGAGGGAATTAAGAATCATGATGATAATTAAAGAAGGAAAAAATTTTCCCACAAATGACCCCACAAGAACTGGGTTAACTAGGTTAAGGTTATATTTAATTTCCTGTGGAAAAAGAAACAACTGAAAACTTATGTGTGAGTGCGCGCGCCCGCATGCAGGCATTGAGCAACGGAGTATACAGAAGCATAATACACAGAGTGGTCGCTGCAGAGAAGGAAGAAAGGTTCTCTGTGGCATATTTCTATAGGCCTTTCGACGACGCAGTGATAGAGAGCCATGGCACGCCTAGGGTTTACAGAAGCTTCACTTTCAAAGAGTATAAACAGCAAAATGAGGAAGCTTTGAAGCAGACCGGTAATAAAGTGGGGCTCTCTAGGCTTCTTTTTGTCGAAGAACGTTGACTTGGCAAAAGCTTAATAGAGAATTCAGTTTGGGTATAGTGGTGTACTATAGTAGAGTGTCATTGAATGTTGTGTGGAGCTCTCTATTTCTGTTCATGTCAAAAACCCTACTTCCAATTAAGGGATATATATATATATATATATATAAAACCATGCATGGTTGGGTTTGGTATGAAAGGCTAGTTGTTAATCTCTTATAACAAAACAAATTAAGGTTTGAATCTTTACTTGAATTTGTACTCATCTTTAGTATCCCACTGTGCCTTGAATATGTTTGATTCCAATATAATCAGGACACCTTTATGCCAAAAAAAAAAATGAAGGGTGTATGTATATTCACACGCCCCTAAGAAAAATCATATATGCTTCAACATTTGGTTTGGTGGAATGATTTATATTAAGGACTAGAAAAAACTTGAATAAAGTATCTTAAATTTAGGGTTTAAAAAGTGTTTTATAAGTAAATATAATTATTAGTCTGTAATTTTCATGGTGATTAGGACAGGCCACAATGTTTATAGCCTGTGAAAAATATAGCTTTTCTGTACATTTTTTTTTAATAACGCAGAGTACAGTTTTGAAAACCCCTTGCATTTTTCTCCATGTACAAGATTTCAACCTAACATCTTGATATTGAAAAGAACATTTCTTACATATTGTAAATTGATGAGTGGCTGTAGATTTTTTTTATTGCAAAATCACAAAATAGACCAAAAAAATTCCATTTAAAGAAATTAATTTCCCTGAGAAAATACATGACTTTAATACCAATTAACACCACTTGAAAGAATCATTAGGCGAAATTTGATTTTTTTTTTAAATGATATTTACGTTCAACAATATGGTTTGCTTTTAAGTTTTGAGGAAAAATTGGGGGCTTAAAAATTCATGTATTTTACAAGTTCTAAAATACGTGAATTTTTAAATGGCTCAATTTGTAAGTGATTATGTCATACTAACAAATAAAATTAGTAAAATAAGGGTCATTCAAGAATTAACTAATCACTGTTATGTAATTATAACAAGCAAGTGGTTCAGAAACTAAATTTATTACCTATATGAACATGTTATTTTCATGATATTTATTTGTCAATTTACAAATGAGAGAACTTGTAAAATATATGAATTTTTAAACATTTCAATTTGTAATTGATTTATCAAATAACATTAGTAAAATAAAAAATGTCGTTCAAAAATTAACAAGTTACAATTATATTATGGTTTGGAAGTGATTTAAAAGCTCGAGTGGCTATGTATATATATATTTCTTTTTTTTTATATGATTAAAAGAATTTGGTGGCTTGGTGGCCATAAGTTTTAATTTTTTAAGTGCCCAAAGCGTCATGAGCTTAAACCATCAGCCACCTTCATTAATTATCGATTAAGTTGGGTGCCGATGGCCAGCGTTAGTGACTGTAAGGTTTGCTTTTTCATTAAAAAAAAAAGTACAGTAAAGGAGAGACATCATATTGTCATTTTACTTTGAAATGTATTTACATTTTAGTCCTTAGGTATTGCAGTGTAAAATCAAGTTGTGTTGGTTCTTCCTTATGAAAAAGTTGGTCCAAAGATCCTTCATTATTGCAAATTTTCCCAATTTTTTTCCCCTTTAAAAGAACAATCCTAATGTTACTTTTGATAAAGCTAAAATAAGGAAGGACTTGGGAACTTGAAAAGCAGGTAAAAACAACTGTTTACAAGAGATTTGTCATAATTCAATCCATTCACTTCACTTACATCTAATTTTCAAGAATCATTTGAAATTTATTATTACCGTTAGTTTGATCCTGACATTCTTGGCGAAAGAAGAAAAGATCCTAGCATAAATGAGCCACAGTAGGTTCTCAAGGATCATAGCACCCTTAAACACTCCGCACCATTAATAAATATAAGTAATATATATCTAATTTATTTAAATTTGAATATATTCTAAAACAGTAAAAGTATGAAAAGATAATAGTAATAAGTTAAAATTCACATACCTTAATTTGATATACTAAATATAAGGCTAAGTGTATAAATTTTACGCTCTAGCCCACAGCGAAAAATATTATTATTTGGGGCGACTAGGACTATTCCCTGTAGCCGTCGTCTGGCAGCAGCATTTGTGGAGGGTGAGTTTCTTTTCGATGCTTCTACGTGGTTGCCGGCGATGAAGATGGGGGTTTGTAGGCGCAGCTGCGTGGATATGTTGATCGGACTAATAGGAGAAGGAAGGGCAATGGTTCTTGACCAGCAAGCATGAATTCGCAGAGATTTATATAGCCAGCTTTTGAAATTTCGAGTTTAAAACTGTTTAATTTGAAATGGTTATTGCCCAAGATGTTTCTATTTGATTGATTGCCATTGAATGCCCTTCAATCGCAGAGGTCTTCAATGGTGTGCTTGTTCATTTTCGCTCTTTTTGGCTAGAGGAGGGGGAGGAGTAATTTTAATAGAGGTGAGGGGAGGGTCCCTCCCAATCCCCCAATTTGGGGGAAGGTTTTGGAAGGACTTTTTTGCCAAACAAGGGGAAGAAGCCTCCAAACATACAGGGTTAAGGGTATTTTTGTAATTTTACATTTTATTTTTTCATGTCTTTACAGTTACCCTTTTTAACCTACCAAACATGTCACTCTTCATTGCACACTCACATCTTTCTTTCTTCCTTCCCGTTCCTTTCCACCCATGCCCATTCTTCCACCAAATACAGACTGTTGATACAAATATTTTGAGAGTAAACTTTCATTCAATCTCTCAATAATTAATGCCTCAACTATCTAGTTCTTGAAGCCTGTCTTTACGCAATTCACTAGTTCAAAGGTTTTCAATCCAAGCAAGCTTAGACAAATGTGAAGCATCTTCTAAGAACCAAAAACATATGACAAATTTTCATATATAAAGTTAAGTCAAGGATTAATATTCAATATGTTGTAATGATGAAACATGTTTTTTTTCAGGTATGTGGGAGTAGAAGAATCAGAAGAAGTGCAGGTATTCTAGTATTTTATAAAGTCAGAGAATAATCCTAAAGAGGATCCAATCCTACTTTGGTTATCAGGAGGTCCTGGTTTCTCTTCCTTTACAGGCCTTATCTATGAAATAGGTAAGAGCTAAACATTAACATTGCTCTCTCAAAACTCAAAACTCTCAATTACCTTCCGTTTTCCCCTGAAATCCTGAAAGTTGAGAGCGCAACTTTCTTTCCCATTTCCATCTCCTTCTCTCACAAAATTCCTTCTCCATTATCCTTTATGTTAGTCTCTTCTGTGTTATTCCAATTTTATCAGGATGTCGTTTTAATATCACTTCCTTAAGGAAAATAATTTATCATCTCAAATCTTTCTATTAAAAACATCACTCACAATGAGAGGAAAACCTTATTTTTGTTCTGAAATTATGCCAGCATGCCCATATATATGGTTGTGTGTGTGGTGTGTATAACTGCATATATAAAAATTAAATGATCATTAACTGTCCTTGGGTGTGCTTGTGAAGGTCAACTGGCATTTATTGAAAGATACAATGAGAGCTTGCCAAGTTTAGTTTTGAGGCCACACAATAATCTTGGACAAAGGTGAGATATTTATCTGTAATTGTATAGCTATGCAGCTGTTTTATTATCTTTTTCTCTCACAACAACATCTGAACAGGAAACATTGGTAGGGTGTAAGAAGCATATGCAAAATTCACTAACTTGCACTGTGTCAAGATGAGCATAAGTCTAAAGAGAAAACCCATTTAAAAGACTAACATATTAAATGGAAAAGCTGCTTAAATTATAAACCCCATTTCACTTGTGAGCTCTCCTGAGAATCATAACACACTGAAACATGATAACCACCAAACATATAGTACTGGAAAGAAGAGAGATGTTGCCAAAAAAAAATAATTTCCTTGCTAAGATACCTTTGCAAAGAATTAGGGAGGAGGAAAAAAAGGGGATAACTGCCTTGCTGATATATGGCCACTATTTAACAAGAAACTTTTTTCTTTCTAATTTCTTGCTTGCTCTCGGCCAAAAAAAAGTTTACATATGTATGTGCATTTATATGTATGTACAAACTTGCCAGAATCCAAAATTGTTATACTTGCAAGGTGACTCACTCTATCAATTTGTCTTTTCAGGTAAGTAGAATTATCTTTGTAGACTTGCCCGCTGTAGCGGTCTTCACTTACGCCAAAACTGAAGCTGCGGTTCAGCAAGGTCATTGGAATATTATTCAACATTTTCATCAATTTTTTAGGAAGGTATATATTTTTACCCTAATTTTATTTCATTTATCTCATAATCACCACGTTTTAGCAGTTAATTGTTATGTTAACCCAAAAGAAAAGAGATTCACATTATTGTATGGAAGTCAAGGGTTTGCTTTCTACATTCTTTTTTCTTCTCACATCTTTAATCTTATTAGTTTGTTTGTTCTCATTCATAAGCCAAATCGAGAACTAGAAACTTCATTGATTCAAGTTAGGTTAATAGAGTGACTTTGTTAGAGGTCCTGCCAAAATAGACATTTTAATTTGACTTTATTTAAAATTTCTCCTAATATTACTGGTGGCAAAATAGAATTTTAATGACACATTTTTTGCCACAATTTCTCAAAAACCTATGGCAATATATGCGCAAGTGACTTTT